TGCCAAACAAAGAAAGTAAGAAAATGTTGAGGTCCACAGTTAATGTAGTCTACGCATTAACTGCTATTAACATTAACCTGGCGTAGAACTCCCTTCTGCGCCAGGACACACATCAGGTCAGAAAACTAAATGTCATCCATGACGTCAACACATATTCCCAGTTGCACATAAATCACCAAATTCAACTGCAGAACAAGTGCAATCCATCTATCTTCTCTTTCTATTTATCCATCTCAAATTACCATTTAATGAACTTCAGCACATCTGGGTCATCCCAAGCATAACGTTTTATCACAGCCTGTCATAAGTAATACTGAGAATTCGAGGAGATCTGCTCATGTAGCACGTGCTTAACTTGGGGTTAGACTCAGGGAGACTTGGCAGACACTGCGACATCTGAAATTACTTCCTATCTTAGTTCCCGGGTTGGGAAATTGGGTTTTTTCGATGCAGCTGGAGCATTCTGACCCATCAAGACAATAACTTTATCTTTTTTGGCACAGTGAGCGCCAAATCAGCAGGAGGGAGAGCCTTGCTTCATGGGACGGGCTGTATCGTGAGAATATTAGATATGGAAGTCAGATAAAAGTTCAACTTGCATGAATATTCGGTCCATGTTGTATGTAGTCCACCTGAGCACATCTGGGTATAGAGCTGACTCTTAAATGTGCTACTATCCAATGAAGACGTTCATTTAAGGCACATAAAGTCACCACAGCACTTTGATTTAGCCTTAAATTCAATGTTACAATGGCAGAGCAGCTCTCATTCAAGTTGATTAAGTGGAAGACAAAGAACACAAGCGCAGCAACTGACTTCAAAACTAGAGCCATGTTCCAGTGAATGATATAAAACAATAAAACATTCTTTTGGTAAGTCAGTCACTGAGTCTGCATACCATAGATGGTTGAATTGCAATATCAAAAACACAACTAAATAGAGACAGATCAATAAATGTATCTAAATGAATGAATGAATGATTATACATTTTATGGGTGACCTTAAAAACCACAACAATAATTACCGCATGCAGACTGTTTTTTATGGAGAAATGTAAATTACAATTGTATGAGTTATTACTCAATAATATAAAACACGAATACATACCAGGAACGTGCGGTCAGGAGATGCCAGTATGGGCCCAGCCAAATGTCTTGGAATTATTGTTTTTACTATGGACATTCCCTTCCAAACTAACAGAACAAATTCTGCGCAGAACACACTATATTTTAGTGCCTGAGGGAATGATCCTAATGCGATTAGCAGGTTGACCACAGGGGGGCAGACTGGGGACAGCTGTGAAATGATGGTTGGCTTAGACATTATACTATTTTGTAATAAAAAGGGAGAACATATAAAGCAATAACAGTATACTCAGGATATAGAACTAAGACGTGTCTAAAAAATGTGTCTGAGAACAACGGACGGATTACTCATGCTTTCACAATAATGAAACATTAGAAATTACATTTACCAAGATCATGTTCAATGTATTAACCCTACAGTCTGCTACAGTTAAATATTGGATTTAAGACTTAAACACGAGAACAGTTTTTCTGCAAACAAAAAATAACATCAGTTCAACATCATCAGTTCTGCATTTGCATTTGGGTTTGAAACATTATAAATATTATATGACTTTCACCACCAATGGCTGGAGTTTGGCAGTGGGAACGTGTTTCTGGAAACACAAACATACATGCAGCGTAAGCTGCAGAACAAACAAGCAAAGATACTCAATATGTGAAACTTTGTCATAATATGATAAAGAAATTAACAAAAAACAGCGTCATCACTCTAGTTCTTGAGAGGCAGTCGTGTGAAGGGAATGGAATCGGAAGTGGTGTTATTCATTAAAGTTAATGAAATGACACGTGGTTATGCTGCATTTTACTTTGAGTTCATTGTGTGTGTGTTTGTGTTGGAAGTTCAGCATTCACACACTGTAGGAATAGTCTGATATTTTGGGAAATATAAGATAAAGATGAGAAGATTGATACCGCACTCATGTTGCGCACTTTAAATGAGAAGCTAGTGCTAACAGTAGCTAGCATAGCTGAAGGCTTTTTTTTAGAAAGTTACAGCAGTTAAGAGAAAGATCACACAAGATAGCTTTCCTTTTAAGGACCTTCTGTCATGCAGCTCCCAGTTGGGAATATTTACATCCTTAAGGAGCCTTATAGAATCAGAGTGGAAATATAGCTGCGTGCACTGAGGCCAGAGGAGACCAGGCTGCTGATTGGCTAAATTGTATGTCACACATTTCTTAGACCCGCCTTCTACGGGCAAACTGAAGATACACACAAGAATCCAAAAACATCCCCAAAAGCATGTTCAAATAGGCATGAAACACAGCAGAGGTAATTGGCTTGACGAAGAGGCCAAAATCAGCAGATCATCTATTAGAAAAAAAGCTATTTTATTTATACCTGGATTGGGACCCTTAAAGAAGAGCGTGCCGGCTCAGTCGGCAATCGCATCCTCGAGGCAGTTCTACTTCACGAGCAGATGACTTGGTCCCTTTGCATGGCGACAACAAAGAAAGGTCATGTGAGGCTCTAAAGGACATTATGATATTTCATCTTGTGCTCAGCCAGAATGAAAAAAAAGGAGCAGGTAAAATCAACACTCTCTGTTGTTTTGGAAGAGAATCGTCTCTACGGGAAGACGAGAAATATAAATTATTTTCAAGCACGATCACAGATACTTCCTAAAATGGGATCATTGATCGTGTAAATCTGCTCTGGCAGACACTTTGGTAAGATTCCAAATATGCAAAAACATCCACTCCCTAAAGACTACATTGACACGGAGACCCTTTGATCAAAGTTATTAAGTATTTACCACGCTTTCAAATGTGACCTTTGCGGGCGAACGGGTCACTGGGGAGTTCACTATATTCAAATACAAGCCTGTACCGATCAGAACCGCTTTCTCTCTCTCTCGGCTGCACGGGCCAGGTTATCTTTAGTGCACATTGAATATTTATACAGCAGGTGGCTGGGGAGTCGGTCACTGATCTCTAAGGTGACTTGCTGTGTCTCTGTGGGAGGGGGCCTAGGATGAAGTCACATGGGACATATTGTCTCCTCTGAGTGTCCTTTGATTCCACTTAGGAAAGGTATAAGGTTTAATGGTTGAATGTCTATCACAAGGCCCGAGGAGAAGAAGTCACAGAGGAACGTCATGATCATTCTATCATTTCATTTATCTCAAAAATTACATCAAAGCATCAAAATCAGAACCAGCATCTTTAACTGGAAGCCACTTTGCACGCACTAACTGAAAAAAACCCACGTAGAATAAAACACAGCTGTGCAATTAAGGCAGGATCGATTTCCTCCGAATGATTGGAACATTTCACTGGAAACGGTTCGACATCAAAGGAACATGATACTCAGATTCTTGGATTGACTTTCGTGAAATAAAGGAGGTTAGAAGAAAGGAGGGGAAACAATGCTGCACAGAGGATTTGTGTCCGCAGATGCTGTGAATCACACCTCATTCCAGCCTCATGACTGGGGGATAATAAGAAAAGATATTAAAGAAGACATGAGAAATCTCCTCTCATTATAGCTTCTAAGCTCCAACGATTGAATGGTTCCCATTGAGATCATTTGGCGGTGATGACACTGTATGTCACACCTCATGCATGAAGAGTTATGGCAGCAAGGGTTTTTAATGGGCCTACGACTGTCAGAGAGAAAGTTTCCCTTTTGAGCTTAATCCTTTTTTGTTTTGTATTTCATAAACGATTTACAGAATTGTAAAAAAAAAAAGTTACAAAAAAGTAGGCAATTGAAAACAACTTTTTGAACTTGAGAGTCCAATAAAAAATAAGCATTTCTCAAAAAGCGCTGAGAAACTTTCCGGGCCTTGGCACTTCATTGTTGTGTGCACAAAGCTGTCCCTGAACTGAACGTGTGAGATAAGTGCTTTGGAGCTCCGACGAACTGAAACAAAAGAACATGAGGTGGAGATTGGTTCAGTAAGTAAGAGAGGGGGAGGAAGCACTTCTGCAGTCCAAGGGCATCATAAACCCGAGCATGTGTCTGCACAACAATGCCAACAGGGGCGCAAATTCTCCACACGCCGGGAATCGATTTCACACACAGAGTGGAGGACTTGGAAGGAGGCGGATGGGAGAGGCACCGAAATACTGCATCTTGTGTTGTTGGATTTGGAGCCCAGTTTTCTGAATGTTTCCCTTTTTTTTTTTGCACAGCATCTGCAAGCTGGGGGATCCATTCAAGTTGAGCTTTACCGAGCCAGCCAGAAAACCTGTTGGCCAGGGAAAAGAGAGGGAAGAAGAAAGGGGATTGCTTTGGGTTTAACTAACTTTTATATAGAATAAAATTCATGTCGTAATAAGCGTTTGAAAAGCTCCCCAAAAAATTCCTGGCATGATGTTTTTTACACAAACATCTGTAAACTTTTATACCACACAAAGTAACAAACCGCATTTGTGGCCGACATTTTTGACAAAGCACACAAAACAGCAAATGGAGCACTACTCCACAAATATCAGAGACCAAGCGGGGAATGGATGCTGAAAATAGTGCCTTAAGAATAAATCCTCGGGCATTATGATGGATATCTTTGTGTGAGGTTAAAGAGAAGCTAAGATGTATTGAATATTTGAGGTCCTTTGGACCGAACGCTAAAAATAAAGTGTTCTCTGCAGATCCAAGCGTGTGTATATCTACGCTTGTTTTCAAAAACGAATATAATTTTAGATGAGCTTGGTTTATTTTTAAAAACCAAAGGAGAGAAAAGATATTTTTGGATCAATACAGCTCATTTTAGAAGAATCAAATATTACACGAGTGGTACAACTGCTCCCAAAGATCAGAGCCTCATATACGAAGGCGGTAATTCATGTCGCCTCCTGCTCCTCACAGCTGACAACAAGCCAAGTCTCCTTTTTATCTTTTTGGGTTTCTCCTCCCTCCTCCCGCATGTGACAGTGGCGACACGCCCCCTGGCGTTCGCTGCGTGGCGGACTCCCGCAGCGCGATCACCTCGCTCCTCCGCGCGCGGCAGCCTCACTGAAGGAATGTGCGTGTGCACCTGGACGTCCTCCTCTTGTTGCTCCTGGCCGTTGCGGCCCCGAAGATCCCCTGCGTGGTGATCAGGGCTCGCCCCCCCCACCCCCACCCCGACCCCCATCACCTCCGTCCGCTCGGATCCTATACACGATGACAAGCACCGAGGGGGCTTCGGAGCGCGCAGAGCCGCCGTGCATCCGGCCGGAGCCCCCGGTGGACGCGCACTCGCCGGGGAAGGCGACGGCCAGTGGCGGCTGCGCTGTCATCACGGACGGCGGCTCCAAAGTGACGGCCAACGGGGTGCACGACTTGGAGAACCGGATCCTGAGGATCACCGGCTACTACGGCTACAACCGGGGCTACTCCAGCCACAAAAGTGAGTGCAAAGAGCGCAAAGTGCCACCCGCGGGTCGACAGGCCACCTCTCTGTCGCAGCTTCTGCGATGGCGTAAAAAAAAAAAAAATGATGGCAATCTTATGATATCAATAAGTCGGTTTTCTTTTTAAATGCATACTTTGCCGGTGGCGTGACGAAGAAGAAACAATGCACACATCTTGTCGTCTTTGCAGATTCATTTTCTATTACAATTAGGCATTAGCAAATTCCACTTTGGCAAACTTAGCTAATGGGGGTTTTAATTATGGCTATTAAGCGGGATGTCAATCAAGGTTGGGTGAGGACCATCCATCTCTGAGGGACAATATTAGAGGGGAATGTGGGGGGAGAGAGAGAGAGACAGAGAGAGAAAACAAATCAGGCTGTGCAATTACACTGCAAAGTGTCATGCACTAATTACACTGGAACTCTCTAAATCAATTTCAGAGTCAGTTGTTTGCCCGATGTTGTCCACATCGTGTTGGTGGACTCTGCAAATAATGATTTACACGACAGCCTTGTATTGAGTTCCAAATATTCGCCAATACATTTTCCCCAAATGACAAGCACAGCCCTTCCTGTGGCGCACGAGCATATTGCCTTCTGTCTCCGAGGGGCCTGAGATACAGCGGCGCCTCAATGCTTTAAGCTCCTCCATAATTTTCATATGTCAAAGCGGTTTTGATTGGTAGACGCGATGCTACGGCATTCTGCTGACTCAGAGACAATGGTCGGGATTGGAGAAGAGAGCTGATGGTGCATTTTGTTCAGGGACGGTCTTTATAGTTCCATTGAAGTGCTGCCAGTGGGATTATAATAAGGGGAAAGAACAAACATTGCAATCCTCTGCGCGCAACCAAGCAGTGGTTTCACAAATGGTTTCGAGGGTGAGGGTCCTAAGGGTGAGGATTTTTTGCATTAGAGACGCTGTACGCATCTCTTTGCTCCTTAACACACCATCACGGCACTGTGTCATTGTTCATTAAGGTAGGTATTATTGAATACATCTCCAAAGATCTAATCGGTCGTCCATGTGTGAATTTCTTCTTGTTCCATATTCTCCCCAAAATGAATTACTCTTCATTAAAGCTGCCCTCCTCTGGCTGATGTAAATGTTTTAAATCCATGACCTACAAACACACCTCAGGGGGAGAGATGTATTTGTAACGTTATCACGTTCCTACTTTGATTTGGTATTGAACCCTGGCACTCTGTGACACGACCCGTTACTCCGACAAACTTGTTTAAATTGAGAAGGAAAGTGACCAAGCAGATCGGGCCTCATTCATTCATCAGTCTGGATGATTGGACGATGTTTTGTTTTTTTTCGACAGAGGCTGCGGAAAAAGAAATGAGCCTGTCTCTCATTACCGGCCTCCTATTCATCAGAGGTGTCAGCTGCTGTAGATGAACCATGAATGCAATAACACACTTTGATTCACGAATAAATCTTCTCAGATGAAGCTATCAGAAGACCAGCTGATTAACGACAGGTACCCAAAACTTTCAATCTAGAACAGATTGAACGACGTCTGATATTGTGAAACAGAAGCGCTTTTGCATTGGTACTGAAAGCGGTACTTAGCATAATAAGGACCTATAATACAGTCTTATGTGTACATTTATGTTAAAGAATATAGAAGCCAGAATTGGTTCATTTTCAATGGCCTAAAAAGATATCGTAGCTAAATGTCACACTAACACTGTGCATCAATGGGGATATTTTGAGATATCACTGTTAACAATAACAGATATTGTCTAAAACAATTTTGACAATTGATTATTTTTAATCTATTATTGGTACATATGATAGCAAACTGAATTTCTTTGGTGTTTTGGACTGTTGGTCCGTCAAAACAAGAGAGTGCAAGATAATAACAACAATAATAAGGTAATACAGGACTCAATATATGGCAGTTAGTTGCATCTTTTATTCCCAGGCCTTTGTCTCTCCCGAGTCGTTGTCTACAGTAAACTGAATCAGACTGAAATGAAAGATGGGGGTGTCATCCGTGGTGTCGTTTCAGGAATAAAGAGCAGTAATACAGTACAATCCCCACTGAGACCATAACAGCCTGCGTGTACCTGTGACCAGAGGGGTTATTTCATCCAAGAGACATTTCATTTCACTGATGAAAGATGCCACGTGTAGTCCTGGATCTTTTCTCCATCCATCCATCGACTGATTTAACGCACGCCAACACTAGTATTCCTCAGGGCGCGATGCTTGTCACCATTTTTCCTGCTTGCACAGCTATTAAACATGCTGTGTCTGGCGCTGTCACTGTGAAGGCGTCTCTTTATGTGCATGCCCGTATTCCTCTTAAATGTGATTGATTCATTCTTAGTCACTAGAACGTGAAAAGTCCCTTTTGTTCAATCCTGCCTTTTGCCTGAAAGTGTCACATTTGGTTACTTTGTTTTGTTCAAGATTTGTAAAGGTTGAGTTGAAAACCCTTCTCTCTCTCTCTCAATCGACTAAATACAAATTAAATGAAGGGTGGGACAAAGGAGCGCGTAAATAGAACAGTGGGCTCAACCCGCCTATGGGGTAATGATATATTTAGTAAGATTCTAGTGTCAGGTTGTTATTGATTCTTGCCATCTGCGTAGAATTAGAAGATGCCTCCAAGGGGGCTGTGGACTACATTTGGTGACAGGTTCTGGGCTGTAATGCATACAGGACAAACACGACGTAATACTAAAAGAAAATGTCATTCAAGGCTCTTTATATCTAAAAAGAAAAATCACATTATTTTGACTTAAAATCTGAAAAAGTAAGGAGTCGTATTCTCACAGCACCCACTTGGCTTCCGCTGCAGCCAACAAGAATGTGCGTGTGCAGGAAACGCGTCCTCAGCATCAGCTGGAAAACTATTACAATCATTTGCTGTCTACCATGTTTTGAGTATAGTCAATTTAGAAAGTGCATCATTGCGTCGTGCTGCGTTGTCATGACCATGTCAGTTCACACAGAAAGTCCGGTGAGATATAAGAGAGAATAGAGAAGCCTTTGAATCCGTTCATCCTTGTACTGTTTGTTAATTCATTTAGCGTTTTCTGAAACCATTTATTTCCATCGTTAACAGCAGCCGTCCTCCTCAGACATGGCCTAAAACATTCTGTATGTGCATGCACTTATTTTGGACCGTTCCCGGGCTAGTTCACTCTGCGCTATTTATAACTAGTCTAGCGTCAAATGGAATACGAGCTTTGCTTGAATGACTTCTGCAGTGCTGTTACTCTCAAGTCCTCCTGGGAATGAACAAAAAAACTCTGTTACGGCTGCAATATTTCTATGTGGGAGTCGTGATATTGTTCATATAGTTTAGTGCATTTTTCCTGTGGGACAAGTATGTAATTCTACATATTTGGACGGGACAATGTGAAAGGTCTGTAATGGCCTCTCCATGATGCTGAGGACGCCAACATTCTTGTCAGCAGTCTAACGCTGCCCCCGTGTGGCCAGGAAGTCTGACAACAACAATAAAGGGGCAACCATCCTCAATATATTGTCATACAAGAGATCACTGTGTTTGCAGCAGTCACTTACCCCTTAAATCCTACAAATTGATAATAATAATGTACTAAGTTAATGGGTTATTTCACCTAATTTGCTGAAACATGCATCTACTTAGTCAAAGATTCTAGATTGCTAGGGCGCTGTTTTCTTTAGCAGCTGTTTTGAGATGTGTAAGCCTGAGATTTCTACCGATATCCCAAATCAACAGAGAATTGCTGGAGCCAAAATATGGAGTGACTGATATGCAGGCTGAACAAGCTGCGCTAGAAGGGGGCCAGCATGGAGAGCACAGGGCTCTCCTGGGACTGGAGGGAACTGACTCGGTTTACATCAGCGATGTTTTGAGCAAAGACTCATTCAGAATTCAAACAGTGTTTCCATGATCTCGCTTTTTTGTGTTTTGCCCATGGAATTGTTTTGCTGCTGTTTACAATCCTATCCAAGTTCAAACGAATGTCCAGCATAGCAGTGCTTATTTTTGATGGGTGTTGTGTTTTCCTTGTGTTGCAAATGGCCTGGAACTGCAATTCATTGTGCAACTGTGTGTTGCATAACAACACTAAATTATCCTTGAATAATTTATGGTGATGGATTTTGTCTTCAATTTTGGTGAGAGTAACAAAATGGTGTTGAAATCTATTCATAATTTTGGTGTTTTAAGTGTTTCACATAGGTGAAACTGGTTATCAAAAACTTGGGCTGAGCTTATTCCTGTTATCTGGATTTTCAGAATGAATATATTGACACATGTAAAAACATGTCCAAACCTGGTGCGCAATCCACCATATTGACCACTAGATGTCCCCATTTTCAAACCACGTTGAGTTGAGTCGACAATATGAGGGCGATGAATGAAACCCAACTGCCAGGGCCTGATTCAGGGTCTGTCCAGTCTCCACTACAGACAACATCAGCCTCTCGTCCTCCTCCTTTGCTTCTACTTCTCCCTGAGATGTGACGGGTAAAAGAAACGGGCTACAACCGAAGGGGCCTGTGCTGTAAACTGAGGAGAATTCATCTAAATGACAAAAGAACCCAAATTGGCAAAGTGCATCACTACAGACAAGGTGCACTGTTGCTATGGGGGTACTGAGAGAGGTTTGGGCACAATTGTCCTTTGATCGGTTATGCAACGGTACCATTGTGTTACACACACTCAGTTTTCCTGTTCAATATTCACAACCGGCTGCGTTTCAGGAGGTCGCGATGTTGGGTTTCGGTTGAAACTGTTGTACAAAGGAATTGTTTTAACGGTCAAGTAGTTTCAGTTGCTGTCATAAGTGTTGTACCAGAAAGTGCATCGTTTCTGTTGTTAGATACGAGGCCTCTGGGCCACAAGTCGATAAAGAGGAAGAACATTACCTGACCTGGGAGAGCAGTAGGGACCTATTCCTTAAATGAAAGAAAAGGGATAAAGCATTTTTTAATACATTTCAAATTAAGTAGTGGCCTCGTGAAAAAAGACAGACGCTGCAGG